GGCAACGGGGGGAAGGGGACGGCAGAGCGGTGTGCCAGGGAGAAGAATTCGCCCTGAGGGGAGGGAGAGACGTGAAGCAGGAGAGCAGAGGGCTGAGACGGGCTGGCAAGCGGCTTTTGCAGGAGGTAGCTCAACCTGGTTCCCCAGCCACCTGTGGTGATGGCATCGGCCACCTCAGGCTCTCCCAGGGCAGCCTCTCACCTTCAGGCCCGCGTCCAGGGACTGGGCAGTAGCTGTTGGGGGTGCCACCAAGGAGTAATCGATCCCAGCCATGGCATCGATCCTGGCTGTGACTGCAAACACGAGGCAGAGAGCGGAGCGAGAGGGAGTCAGCAGGGGAGGGCCGGGAGCAGATTGCCTCTGCTGACACCCCAGCAGTGCCGTGCCTGGGCTCCCTGGTGTCACCATTTCCCTCCCGAGTGTTTCTCAGCCATGCAGAGTAACTCCCGGGCCCATGGAGCAGTCCGGGTGCCCCGGCTGAGGCAGCCCATGACCCCCAGCTCTGGGGCAGGGCACAGAGGAGCCGTCTCCACGGGCAGACAGGGTGCACGGGGCGAGTCTCTGCCCACACCGTGTGCCCAGCGCCCAGCGTGGGTGCCCAAGCACAGGGGATTGGGGAGTGGGCACAAGGTATGGCACTGTGCTCGTGGCTGGGAAATGTGTGGCAGAACTGCTCCCAGCACCCCGGGGAGCTGCTGCCTGGTACCTGGCAGGGTCTGGAGGTAGGGCTGGAGCTCGCTGCGCACGGCGTCGGCCACGCTCTCACAGACCTGCGGGGCGGAAGGGCAGCGAGGCTGAGCAGGGGCAGCTCAGCAGGGGCAGCTGGGCCACAGCCCCGGGCCATGCTCTCCACTGTGCTGGCAGCACTGGTTTTATTCTTGCAAATGCCTGCTTCAGGACAGAGCACACCATGATGTTTGTTCATCAGGCAGCACGTTAATTAAGTTTCCAAGATAGAAGCAAGGGTTATACCTGCAAACATCTGCTTGCAGCAAGCTCCCACACATGGTTCAGCTGCGTCGAGGCCCTTGGAAAGAATCTCACGTGTGCCCTCAGACTGTTCCTCCAGCCCATGCTGGGATGAGCTGCACTGAGCAGCCAAAACTCTGCCCAACAGAGCAACTGGCAGAGCGAGCCCACCCCACAGGGGCACTGACTGGGCCAGCAGAGCAGAGCTACCCTGAGCTCCTACAGCTCTGTGCTGCCAGGACAGAAGAGCAAATCCCCCACTGCTGTCATCCACAGGTGAAGCCTCGGCATTAGTGGGGGATCTAATTGCAGGCTAAGCACTAGCCCAGTAAATTTACTGCCAGGCAGAGTGCTGCTGGTGGCTGAGATAACCTGCACAAGCTCTCTCCCAGCAGGCAGCCCGCCGGCAGCAGGCTCTGTGCAGTGCAGAGCTCTGGGGGAGCAGCAGCCAGACTGCCAGCAACGCAGCCACGGGCTGGGCAGCGCCGGGAGGAAGAGGAGGGACAGAGCCTCGGGCATGGCCTTATCCTCAGAGGGCTGCTCCTCCTCCCTGTGCCCACCTATGTTCTTCGTCTGTGCTGGAAGTGTGCCATTGCTGCCTGGGAGGACAGAGCCACAGATGAGGAATTGCAGCCCTGAGCCCAGTGACCAGGATCTCCCAGTGACTGGGTCCCCTGCCACCAGGGGGAACCAGGACTGCCCAAGCTCATGCAGTGAGAATAGGAGGCTGCAGGGCTGGGTCAAGACCAAGCTGTGCCCCAGGGTCCCAGTGCAGTTCCACTCCCAGCCCCTGCCCCTCACACCATCTCACAGATGGAGAAAGACACTGAGGAACATGCATGGGACAAAGGGGGCTGGGAGGAGGTGCAGGGTGTCTCCGTGGAGTCCCAGAGCTGTGCTTCTTCCATAAGGCAGAACAGCAAAAAAGGCCTTAGAGCCCCAGCTTTGCTCCTCCTGCCAGCCCATCTGCTGCCACAGCCCCCGTGGGCCTTGGGAAAGCC